CTTCTCAGGCATTTCACAGAAAATACACTTGTTCTTCCATCTACACTGTCTATTTCCACAAACTGCACTACCACTCACCCAACTAACCTACTCAGAAACCTAGGAGTCCTGAACATTTACCTTATTCCCTCAACCTCTGTAATTAGTCACCTGTTAATCACCGGGTCCTATGTGTATTATCTCCTAAATATCGTTACAGTTACTTAATAACTGGTTCTTCTACCCTGGTTTAGGTCCTCATCTGTCAGCCATACCACTGCAAAAACAACACCTCAACACCTACAGTAACGCACCAAATAACAATGTGTCAGTCAATGATGAACCACACATATATACAATGGTGGTCCCATTAAGACTGTAACAGAGCTGAAAAATTCTTATCACCCAGCAATGTTGCAGCAGGTCATAATGCCTAGTGCACTGCAGTACTCACATGTTTGTGGTGACGCTGATGTAAACAAACCTACTAGGCTAGGCTGCCAGTCTTATAAAAGAATAGCACATACAATTATGTACACCACATAATACTTGATAATAATAAAGGACTGTACTGATTTATGTATTTAATCTACTATATTTTTAAATCATAATTTTAAAGTGTACTCCTTATACTTATTAAAAACAATTAACTGTAAAACTGCCTCAGGTAGGTCCTTTAGGAGATACTCCAGAAGGCACTGTCATCATAGAAGATGACAGCTTCATGTGTGTTATTGCCCCCGAAGACTTTCCAGTGGGACAAGATGTGGAGGTGAAGACAGTGATATTGATGATCCTGACCCTGTGTAGGCTGAGGCTAATGTGTTTGTGTCTTAGCTTTTAACAAAAAAGTCTAAAAAGTAAATTTAAAAAATTAGAAAAAGCTTACAGAATAAGGATATATTTTTGTACAGTTGTATAATGTGTTTGTTTTAAGCTGCTATTACAAAAGAGTTCAAAAGTTAAAAAATTAAGCTGAGATATAAAGAAAAACAAATAGAAGAAAAAAGTTTAAAAAATGAAAAAGTTTACAGAATAAAAATGTTACAGTCAGCTAAGGTTAATTTATTATTGAAGAAAGAAAAATATTTATTTTTTTTAGAGACAGGGTCTCTAGTCAGGCATGGTGGCGTGCACCTGTAATCCCAGCTACTTGGGAGGCTGAGGCAGGAGAATCGCTTGAACGCAGGGGGGGGGCGGAGGTGGGAGCTGAGTCTGTGCCATTGCACGCCAGCCTGGGCAACAAGAGCGAAACTCTGTCTCAAAAAAAAAAAAAAAAAAAAAATAGAGACAGGGGCTCGCTCTGTCACTCAGGCTGGAGTACAGCAGTGTGATCCTAGCTCACTGCAGCCCCAGCACTCCTGGGCTCAAGTGATCCTCCTGCCTCAGCCTCTCAAAGTGCTGGAATTACAGGCGTGAGTCACCATGTCGAGCCAAGAAAAATATTTTTTTAAATTTTTGTTATTTTATTCTGAAGTTACGGTACAAGGAAAAATATGTTTTTATAAACCCATTGTAACCTAAGTGTACAGTGTTTGTAATGTCTACAGTAGTGTACAGTAATATTCGAGGCCTTCACATGCACTCATCACTCACTCACCCAGAGCAGCTTCCAGTCCTGCAAGCTCCATTCACGGTAAATGCCCAATACAGGTATAGCATCTTTTATATTTAATACTGTATTTTTACTGTACCTTTCCTATGTTTAGATAGGTTAAGATACAAATATCACTGTGTCACAATTGCACAAATACTGTATTTGGTATTTACATGATGTACAAGTTTATAGCCTAGGTCTCTGTAGTCGGTTTTATCATCTAGGTTTGGGTAAGTATTCTATGATGTCCTTTAATAACAAAATCACCTATGGACACATTTCTATGAATGTATCCCATTGTTAAGCAACACATGACTATATAATAAAACAATAACACCTATCTTTTTACATAGCATATACATTTAATCGAGTGTATTTTATTCAAACCCTTCAATGATTCGAACGGTTTAAGAGATTTTATCAACTAGGTGTAGTGTCTCACACCTGCAATCCCAACAATTTGGGAGGCTGAGCTGGGAGGACTGCTAGAGGCCAGGAGTTTGAGATCAGTCTGTACAACATAGCAAGACCCCATCACTGAAAATTTTTTAAATAAGTAGCCAAGTGTAGTGGCCTGTGACTGTATTCCCAGCTACTTTTGGAAGCTGAGATGGGAGGATTACTTGAGCCCAGCAGGTCAAGCCCTGCAGTAAGCTACGATGATGATGCTATACGCCAACCTGAGTGACAGAGACTCCATCTCTAAAGGAAAAAAAAAAAGAAATTTAAAAATATATTTATCAATTTATAATCTGACTTTTACCTGACACACGCCTATCACTTTTGTTTTTTTTTGAACTTTTTTGAAATTTATTTGTTTAAAGGCATACCATAGGCTGGGCATGGTGGTTCATGCTTGGGAGGCCCAGGCAGGACAATCACTTGAGGCCAGGAGTATAAGACCAGCCTGTTGAAGACCCCATCTCTATTAAAAAATTTTTAAAACTGCCTGGGCATGGAGGCTTGCGCTTGTTAGTCCTAGCTGCTCTGAAGGCTGAGGCGAGAGGATTGCTTGAGCCCAGGAGGTTGGGACTGCAATAAGCTATGATCGCACCACTGCTTTCCACCCTGGGTGACAAAGCAAGACCCTATCTCAAAAAAACAGGAAAAAAAAAAAGGCACATTCTAATATCCATAAAAATCACAAGTTCGAAGTGCTAGGTTTTTCTGCCAATAAATATCTATTAAAATGAAACAAGTTTCACTGTATACTACCAAAAATCATCATACGTGCTGCCTGTGATACACATAACATGGAAAATGATGACTTATAGGAAAAAGCTGAAACTCTTATGCAAAGAACAGAAGGCCTTTCACACTAATTTCTTATCCTCCCCCATGCCATCTATGCGCAAACCATACTCTCAACTGTCTGCTAATTTCCAGATGATGCCATGTTTCTGACTATCTGTACTCTGTCCCAAGCCATCCCCTCTGCCTGGAATGCCTGTTCTTGTATCTCCCAGATATATTTTTAATCTTCATTCCAATTCAAGGTTATGTCCCTTCCTCAAGATACACATACATGTACCCCTTTTTACACTAAGGTTGCATCTTAAATATGCCACCATTATAATACTCGTCACATTATTGTTTCCATTACATGTTACACTGAGGTTCTTTTTATGCTTTTCTTTTACATTGCAAGCTCCTTGAGGTCGAGATCCAAGCCACTTTATCTTTAGATATCAGTAATTTAGACTCTGGCAAATAATAAGCAGATTTATTAAATCAAATGAAAGCTTTTAACTGCAGAATGTCAGTGAGTTACAAATGTTCCCAGATATTCTAACAGATGAATAAGCTAGAGGCCCACCTATTTATCAGTATGTATGTTTAAACGTAAGTTGTATTCAGTAATGTAAATACTGGTGCATAAAAGGCTTTTAATTAGAATGAAATCTTTCAAAGGTTTCACTTTTTGGAATGCTTAGCAATTAATGAATATTCCAATTAACTGGTACTTTGTCTATCACCATTGTCTTTTTCTGTAGACAAGTTTTGTTATTTTATCTAACTCTTTGTTGGTTAATTATTTCTTTATGGCTCTGATCAGGACTACCAAGGAAGCCATCACTCACCTCCCTATGTATAAGGAAGTTATCAGTACTACCCTACCTGTTAATTCTTTGGTCAACAGTTGAAAAGTGCTTAAAATCATTCATTCCTATTTACAGAAACTACATGTGACTTGAATGCATCCACTGCCTATGGGAAAAATGTCTATTAGTGAAATAGATGCAGCCACTGGAGCAGAACTGGAGCCATTTAAATGAGTATCTTTTTCTTTTACTTTTGGTAAAACATGCAAAGTTTAACTTGGCAAACTGAAAAGTGTAAAATAAAATGATGTTATCCATTGTGTATTTTTGAAGCATCCCTAAGAAAAGAGGGTTTTGTTTGCATTTTTTCTATTTAGTTTAGATCATACTTTCTTTTTTCCCTTTTAACAATTAAATATTAATTGAAGTTACAGTTTCTCTTGAAAGTACTGCAAGCTACTGACAGGTAGAAGTTTGGTACCAAAGTGACAGTTCTTCGCAATGCCATTATGGTTACTTCTCAAGCAAAGCTTTATTAATTCTTTGTTGGTCCTAACAAGAGTTGAATTTTTTTTCTTGATGGGATCTGAAAAATCCATTAAACATGCAAATGATGGCCAGGCGTGGTAGCTCACGCCTGTAATCCCAGCACTTTGGGAGGGTGAGGTGGGTGGATCACCTGAGGTTGGGAGTTCAAGACCAGTCTGACCAACATGGAGAAACCCCGTCTCTACTAAAAATATAAAATTAGCCGGGAATGGTGGCACATGCCTGTAATTCCAGCTACCCGGGGAGGCTGAGGCAGGAGGATTGCTTGAACCTGGGAGGTAGAGGTTACGGTAAGCCAAGATTGTGCCACTGCACTCCAGCCTGGGCAACAAGAGCAAAACTCCGTCTCAAAAAAAACCATGCAAAGGACCACCATCTGAGACCTAAAAATTATAGTGTAAACTAACTTACTGCACTGTCAGTTGTATAAAAGTATAGCACATCCAATTATGTACAGTACATAATACTTCATTATAAATGACTACGTTAGTGATTTATGTATTTACTTTTATTATTTTAGAGTATTATCCTACTTATTAAAAAATGGACTGTAAAACAGTTAAAATTATAAAACTAGAGATACAATATGTGAGAAAAGCAGATGCTATAAGCTTGAGAAAAGAAAAATAGCTCAGAGTAATCTCAGCTATGTGAGGTATGCAGGCCCAGAAAGACATGCCTATCAGACATCAGTTATGCACAAACTCTCCCTCATATGGCTGGGGACAATTGTTTTATGTGATTTTGTTCCCAACTAGCTGCCTCACACGTTATCTTCATGTTACTGGAATTTGTGATACAAAGAAAAATATACAGCCTATCAATAGTTTACATTATTTTAATGTAAATTCTGGTTAACAACTCAAACTCCCTCTTCTTTCCCTTTAAAAATCCACTTGTAACTGCTGCCGATCAAAGGGTATATTCAGGGCAACTTGAATCTGTGCTCCTCAGCTGCAATCCTTAAGCTTGGCCCAAGTAAACTCTCTACTTATATTAATTTTGCCTCAGTTTCCTCCTTTTAGGTTGACAGCCAAATGTAGAATAAATTAAGTTTTGAGTAAAGAAGAATTATCATTAAAATTGTAACACATAGTAGAGGTACATTCAATAGTCCTTTTCTGAACATGAGTGCTCACTGCTCTAGGATCTGGCTTTACTGTGACACTAAGCAGGGCAACTGTAAGCAGACTGCTTGCTCCTTTAATCAAATTCCCACTAAGATTCAGATCCTCAAGGCTGCAATACGGAAGAATTCCCCTATGCGAAAGAGTAGCTGGACTTCAAAGCCCTGACCCTTGTCCCTGCATTGTCAATTGAGAAGGATTTGGGAATATTTTTAATAAGTGAGCTAATGGGTATCCTCAAATTAGAAAAAATTTCTTTAGTTTGTTAATTGAAATAAAGCTTGAAAATTCATGGCCACTGAAATTTTTGAGAAAAGGTCTCGCTCTGTCACCTAGGTTGGAGTGCAATGGCACAATCACAGCTCACTGCAACCTCAACCTCCCAGGCTCAAGTGATCCTCCTACCTCAGCCTCCAGAGTAGCTGGGACTGCAGGCGCAAACTACCATGTGTGGCTAATTTTTTAATTTTTTTGTAGAGATAGGGTCTCGCTATGCTGCCAGGAGCAGTCTCGAACTCCCAGGCTCAAGTGATCCTCCTGCCTCGGCCTCCCAAGTGCTTCTATAAACTTAGATGATATAGTCTACTACACGCCTAGGCTGTATGTTATAGCCTATTGTTCCTAGGCTACAAATCTGTACAGCATGTTACTGTACTGAATACTGTATGCAATAGTGTCTGTATACCTAAATATATCTAAACACAGAGAAAATATGATATTGTCTTATGGGACCATCATCTATACACACTGCGTATGAAATGTCATTATGTGGTATATGACTGTACAGTGCTACGAGAGCATATAAATGAAGGGGTCAGAAAGGTACTGCCAAAGAAATATCAAGATTTAAAGGATGAGCAGGTGTTAACTCGGGGTGGCACTCCCCAAGTTATGGATCAGTGTGTGCAAAGGTTTTGAGGCTAGAGAAGGTATAATGAATTTAAGAACTGGAGGAAGACCACTGTGGCTAAAGCAGAGAGAATGAAAGCACAATGGCTGGATATTAACTTATTCTTACCTTTGTTAAGAGCTCTCTGTTTATTTTGAAATTTACAGTCCTTTGACCAGTACTGATTTCACTCACCACTGTATCACATCTTAGCTGAAAAGAACAAATCGCACAAAGTAGGTATGTTATATAATAGGCCTAATGAGATATGTAGTTCTAATACCATTTTTGGCTTACAAAGACACAAGTCAGTCATCTTTCCTGGTCCCTATATCGGGTCCTAGTTCTTAGGCAATCTCTTTAGTTCCATAATTCTATTTAAGTAAACACATTCTCTTTTTTTCCCAATTAACATACTATTCTGTATTTAGTCTCTCTCTTCCTCATTCCCTTTCCCTCCCCTCAAATTCACCTTTTAACAAGTAAGAAAAATCACTCTACCCATATTCTACCTACTCTGACATACGATGAACACTTTTTATCTCACCTAGCTTTCATGAGAGCCACAGAACATGACATTCTGTCAGGGTCTACGCTAAAGCACCTGCACCAACAGATAAGATGTAATTTAGATAGTTCGTCTTATGCATATGCCTTCACTTTTTAACCTATTAGATGTCTGAACCCATCTCATGAAAAACCTATGGAACTTGAAGAGATTATCTGCTGTCACTAAAGAGCAACTAGTCTTTATTTTTAAGAACCTATAAGAAATGGGGAAAAGGAAATAATTATTATATTTTGAATAATTCTATTCCTGGTAAATATCTGGGAGTGATTTTCTGATCAAATAAATATTTACTAAGCTACCAATGCTCCTTTATCATACTCATCCTGTAAATAAGCATCTCTTTCTATGATAGTGACTTTCATTGTTCCAGTTCTTTAGAGTTCCCAGACACTGCCTCTGTGACATATGTTAATATGCTTGTCCAACATATCTGCCTTTTCTGAGGGAATTACACTAACAATTTATATTTAGTAATTCCTTACAATCCTTTCAATTCCTCTTTTAGATATCAAACCCATCAGAGAACTTAGAAATGAAAGAGGCTTATTATAATCATCTAACCACCTCTTCTCTGTAATCATGATTCTATTTACATCTCATCAATTCTTCTCATATTTTAATGTTCATCTTTTCAAAAACTCATTTTAAAAATTGCAACTCACTGCTCTAATTTATCAAGCTTGTTCTCCTAAATTCAAAAGTCCATCCAGATTCAATGTGTAAATTTAATTAACACTTCAGTCTTCCTGTAAGTGGTTAATCAAAAAATTGAACAATGTCAGCTCAAGAGGAATGCTTTATAACTAATTTGAAAAATCATTATAACCTTATAGTATGTGGCTAAAATGAATTTAAATTATATTACACAAGATGCCTCGAACAAAGAAACACTATTAAATTCACTATTATGGCTGAGATAGCCTGCAGAGTATTTTTTTTAAAATAACAAGTTTATTACAATGTCAAAAAGATAATAGTGCTAAAGTACCTTCTCTGCTAGTCTCTTGGCTTGAACTTGAGTATCTGGTCTTGAATGGTCATTGTCTTCTTCCAACAAAGAATCCACAGAAAGCTGAAAATCAGCTACTTCTCTAAAGACAGACATTGAAACGAGGTAGACCTGTTACCTTAAAAGAATTAGTTGTGTAACAAAGACTCATCACTATGAGTTCTCTATTGAGACATACCTTTACCAGAATAAGGTGTTCTGTGTACTTTCAAAATTAAAAGCAAGGGGCCAGGAGCGGTGGCTCATGCCTGTAATCTCAGCACGTTAGGAGGCCGAGGCAGGCAGATCACCCGAGGTCAGGAGTTCTAGACCAGCCTGGCCACATGGTGAAACTCCATCTCTACTAAAAATACACACACACAAATTAGCCAGGCATGGTGGTGTATACCTATAGTCCCAGGTGCTTGGGAGACTGAGGCAGGGGAATCGCTTGACTCCTGGAGGTGGAGATTGCAGTGAGCCAAGATTACGCCACTGCACTCCAGCTTGGGTGACAAGAGTGAAGCTCCGTCTCAAAAAAGTAAATAAAATAAAATAAATAAAAAAAAACAAAATTAAAACCAAGAAAATTAGAAATAACCTAGTATTTATTTGGAATATTTTTCTTATCGTCTTATAAAATTCTTCCTCTTCTGTCCAGGTGCGATGGCTCACGCCTGTAATCCCAGCACTTTCAGAGGCCGAGACAGGTGGATCACTTAAGGTCAGGAGTTTGAGAGCAGCCTGGCCAACATGGAGAAACCCCATCTCTACTAAAAACACAAAAATTAGCTGGGCATGGGGGCGCACACCAGCTACTCGGGAGGTTGAGGCACGAGAATTGCTTGAACCCGGGAGGCAGAGGTTGCAGTGAGCCAAGATCGTGCCACTGCACACCAGCCTGGGTGACAGAGCAAGACCCCATCTCAAAAAATTCTTCTTCTTCTATTACCCAAATGTAGCTTTATGGTATCTCTGTGAAACAGGTAGAGCAGTCACCTTATTTTATAGACATGAAAACTGATGTCTGGCAAGCTAAACGTCTCCTTTAAAATCCTACGGCAAATAAACACAGATTGAGAAAAGGGCCCAGGTCTCTTGACCTCTTCTACAACGCTTCCTCTACTACTCCAAAGGTATGCTTCATTTAAACCCTTCCACTGACCTCCAAATGATGTATTTTTTAAATGTTGTAATTTGAGTTTTGACATGAGAAAAAGAAGAATATTATTCTTAACACTCAGCAGTTCATTAAAAAGACAGACAATGCCATTTATTCTTTTCACTGGGTAGGTGAAAAAACAATACAAAAACAAAGAAACAAACACAAAGCAACTGATTAGTGAAAATAAATCATTTGCATCATGAGATCAGTTCTCTCTAGGAAAGCAGGGTAGGGAATGAAGTCAAACAAATACATATCAGTGATTTCAACATTATCTGTAATGCTTAATAAAAATCAAAAGCCCTTCCTTTCCCTACAAAATAAGACTTGAAGTACATTTGGAAAAAGGACTTGACAGCTTAGAAAGTGACCATGAGAGTACTCATTACATCATTCTCTATGAATTTTTCTGTAGGTTTGAAATAGTTCAAGGTGCAAAAAAATATTTTTAAATCAACATATAAGCATCTATTATAACTATTCACATTAATTTATCTTCTGGTGTTTAATATGGAACTAGAGAATGAGACTCGATAGGTAGAGTAAGAGGGTTGAAACATTATTTATCCAGCCCATCTGTCACTGGAATGAAAAGACTTATTTTTGAGGAGGCACAAATTATTTCCTTCATTAACACTTATGAAACTCAGGGAAATAACTAAAAATTCCTGTGTGACTTCTGGTTAACACCACATTTAAAAACCTAGTCTACAATCACCATTAAGAATTTTCCTGAGCCTTAATACATCAACCAGCAGCCTACTATGTATTATACTTTGGGCAGGTACAGTGGCTCATGCCTGTAATTCCAGCACTTTGGGAGGCCACGGCAGGAGGACTGCTTGAGCTCAGGAGTACAAGACCAGCTTAGACAACATAGCAAGACCCAATCTCTAAGAAAAAAATTCATATTAAAAAATGAAAACAATCTAAATGTCTATCAACAAGGGAATGTTACAACATTGTTAAAAGAGATATTCATTAAAAAAAAGAATTATGTCAGGAAAAGGATTTAAAAATCTTACATATTTCTATGTAGTTTTATAGCTATATCTTTTTAAAGGCAAGAAAAAAGTAAAAAGTACATCAACTTGCTAAAATCAGTTGTCTTACTATAGTAAGACTATTGAGGGCTTTTATCTTTTCTTATTCTTCTGTATTTTCCTGAATTTCCTTAAGAAGATTATCTGTTTTACTTTTATAATAGAAAAATAAATTAAAAAAAAAAACCTTTAAAAAGGCAAAACATCTAGGCTATGAAATGCAGTAGATATCAAAATAAACAACTGTGGATGAGGAGAGCCCAACACACTGGCTCATGCCTATAATTCTAGTGTGGGAGGCCAAGGTGGGAGAATTACTTAAGCTGAAGAGTTCAAGACTAGCCTGGGCAACGTAGGTGGACACTGTCTCTACAGAAAATTTAAAAAATTAGCCAAGTGTGCTGGCCTGCGCTTCTGGTCCCAGCTAATTGGCAGGCTGAAATGGGAGGATAGCTTGAACCTGGGAGGTCGAGGCTGCAGTAAGCCATGATTCTGCCATTGCACTCCAGCCTCAGCGACCAATAGAGC